AACATTTCTTAAACTAATTTAAACTTAATAATAAATTCATGAACTCTCTTCATTAATCAACCTAATTAAATGGTATTTTTTCAAAAATACGATATTGTGCGTTTGGATATTCCATCCAAAAAGACAAATATTCATTTTCAAAATGAACAAATGTGTCTTTTCTCCCAAATAATTGATGCAAAACGATTCATCATTCTCTTTTTTGTCTCCAAAGATTTTTTTTTCTAGGGAAAATTGGAGAAAAGGAGTTTTAAAAAAAAAATCTTAATCCTGTGAAATGTCAAAACCACTGAGGAGAGAAGATCACGAGAATTACATCCATTCACTAAAAAAAAAAGCAACCGAATGAAAAATAAACAAAATATTACATGAGAATTATAAAAAAAAAGAGAAAAAAATTCTCTACAAGTTGCAAATTAAAAAAAAAGTGTGGATTTGACAAAAGGAGTCCATCCCACAAGTGAATGCAGAGGAGAAAAACAAGATTCCCAGGCAGAATAAAAAATAGAGTTAAATGAGTCAAACAATTCGAACCCCTACACCAGAAAAAAAAATTGTTTCCGTCAATCAAATCCGGCTTGAACGCCTAAATATCGAAAATACCAATACATAATCCTCATTTCAAGATCTTCTCAATTAGTTAGTTTGACATAAACTAGAATGAGTCCATTGAGCCCCTGAGTTCATTCATCGCGAAATATCTAGTAAACGAATAGAGATACATGAATTTTCATGAGAATCATTTTTGTAGAGCGATACGTGCACGAAAAAAAAGATTGACATACCAATTCCGCTATCTCCCCTCGTTTAAAAGATAATCTTCAATAATTGGGACTGAGCCAGATGCATTAATTCCAGCTCACCAGTGTATAAATGAGATTAACAGAAATGAATGTCTATTTTTCCCAGTGTAGAAAGTTTCCAAAGTGTCCTCCTCGTAATTCAACCAATCTTACAGGAAATAGAGGAGTTTCTGGAGATGAGGATCAGTGGGTGAAGTGTGAATGGATTGAGAGACAAGGAAAGCGAGTTTGTGAGCGAATTGTACTGGAGCAGGAACTCTCATTGTCGTGCTGCAATTGAAATAGATGTGCGTCATCTTATAAGCAAGGAGCTGCATCTTATCAGCATCGAGTCCAGTGGTGTCATAGATAACCGAGTACGACGTGGGTGAGACAGTGCCCTGTTTCACCCCCTGGGATATGAGGAAAAAGTCGTACTTGGCTGGATTAGTGACAACACTATCAACAACCGTTCCCGGTAGGGGATTCCTCTTCCCCTGGAAGAATCTAGTGTTGATTCTCTTGGTAACCAGGACATATCCGAGCTTCACCTGAGCTGGATTAGCATAGAGCTTGCTGATAGCATCCCTGACATGCTTGACCTCGTGATCGAAGACAAATGGAATTTGCCCCTCACCCACACCATCTCTGTAGACTATTATGTGAGAGGGAATATTTCCACCGTTCACCTCTCGATAGGCTGCTATAGCCTTCACCATGTTGGTAGCAAGATAATTCGACAGCTCTTCACCTGTTGTGTGAGCTGAAACTGCTGAGAAGAAACGCGAGAGCTTCTTGTCTAGTGATGCAACCATTGCACCAAAATCCGTGCCCCTTCTGTTGGTGTCGTGACACACGTCGAATCCAACAACCATCAGGCCACTCAGGGGATTGTGAACAGTCCAGGGAATTCCACCAATTTTACAATTCACTTGAATTGCCACTTTCGTTGCTATTGACATCATCCCCTGGGGCTTGAAGCAACGAGCTGTCACCACCTGACTTGGCACTGCCCTGTCGATGCAGCACTTCTTCTTTATTGCTGCATAAGTATCTGCACGATTTCTCATCAGAATGCACATCACTAGTTGAGGCCTGTTCTTACTCAATACCTGCTCCAGGGCTGTTGTGTAAGACTCTGATCTGTCGTTGTTGATCTCGATGAAGTGAGGCTCACCTGCACGGAAGTTCCTGATCGAGCGACGCATCCCATCACAAAAGCCCTGAGGAATTTCAATTCTTTTATAATCGCTTTTAGTACCCAAACATTCCCAAAATCAGGCATTTATTGTATTGAAAATAAATACCGATTAAAATAATTAATTGATTTTTTTTCATCTATTATTACAATATCTTTTCTCTTCAGCAGCTAAACTAACCGAAATATTCGATAATTTTCCTCATTCAAATAAAAATTTTACATTGACAAAAATTTTAAATCTAATTCCGTCATCTAAGTGCAATATATATGTGCTATGTACTTTCATTATAAAAAAAGAAAAAGCAAAAATGAAAAAATCATAGTAATAAATCTGGAATTTGAAAAATCAATTTAAAAAAACCTAATATTTAATGATCCCCGCCACTCGGGTCTCCATAATACCCGTTCTCTCCCCAGGGCGCACTATCAGACTCCCCCACCCCTTGATGACGTAAAATGCGCAAAAACATGCGCACGTCGCCCAGAATATTCAGTGTCTTTAACCCCATTCCAACGTCAACATGTCGGACCCATCGACACCAAATCTCTCAACACCTCCCACACAGGCCCACCACCCTCAGCCCCCCTCAAAAAAACGTAGGAACACATCAGTTCAGGTGCACGAAAAGTTAAAAGCCCTGGAGAAGGTAAAACAGGGATGTTCTCGTCACCAGGTAGCCAAAGAATTGGGCGTCCACTCGTCAACAGTAGACGGTTGGATAAAAAACGAGAAGAACCTGCAAAAATGGGCTAGCGAGCACAACGGTGTGATGCCTCTGGCAAAGAAACGTCTCCGTAAGCCCGTCCACGAGCTGATAGATCGTGCAATGTGGCTCTGGCACAGGGAGAGAAGTTCAGCTGGCTGCACCTTCACAGGTCCAGGTGTGAAGATTCAGGCACTTCTGTTTCGCAATCAACTGGGGGCATCGCAGACATTTACAGCAAGCCAGGGCTGGTTGACAAAATGGCAGAAACGTTATGGCATCAAGCTTGGAGTTCAAAACACCACCGCATCGAGCGCTGACTCACTAGAGGAAGAGGAAATGGTGATCAA